AGAGACGATGTTAATTAAACTAATTCCTCTATGATTTGCACAAGAGGATCTATCATCTTTCTTGTAAATCGGTATGATCACTGACTCACACCATTCAGCTGGAACCTCCTCTCTTTCCCATATTGAGCCATATTGAGGAGATTTGTCAACTTCAAGACTAACACTGAGCCTCCATCCTTAAACGCTGATGGAAACAGCCTATCTGGGCCAGAGGCCTTATGCCTTTTGAGATAACTTATTTCCCGAGATACCTCCATTTCAGAAGGAGGACTAGCATCAACTGGCAGTATTTGTCCAGTCGAGGCGGAGAGTGAAAGGTAAGATGTTGATGGGGGCCAGTTGAACTGAGCCTTGAAATGTTCAGCCCAACGTTCAAGATGGCGTTGCTGATCGTGAATCAGTGAGCCATTGCATTCCTTAATTACCTCACTTACGCCTATTTTCCTAGGACCCGTATTCCTAATTAGATAGAAAAGGTTACAACTATTACCAATAGCCGCAGCTCTCTCCATCTCTTTACACTTTTCTACCCACCACTTCTCGCGGTCGTTCGTCAGACTTTTGATGAGCTGACGTTTAAGGGATTTGCGAGCTGTGTCGTATGTGGCATCCGGAGGAAGGGTTCTGCGGGCGTCCAGCAGGGCAACCGAGGTCGACGATATCCATCGTTTGTGTTTTGAGCTTGTGGCAGGGTCCGACGTTGCTTTTATCGATATCTGCATAGCTTCCTTGATTTGCTCCCAGTGTTCATTGGGTCCTTCGGCTGGCGGTTGAACTGACGGGCGATCGGAGAGCTCCGCTTCGAAGGCCTTTATTTATGAATCGCCGACACTGTATCGCGGATATCCGTTGTCGGTGGCTTTTTTTCGGTTGTTTACCAGGTGTAAGGAAAACTCGGCTCGTAACAAGGCGTGGTCTGTGTCCACAGCTGTTGACGAATAAGAGCGACAGTCTTGAATTCATCCCCTCCAGCGGTAACTGATGGCGATGTGGTCGATTTGGGTCCANTTCCATGTAAGTCGATGGCGTTTTTTGTGCGAGAAGTTCGTGTTTGACAGGAACAATCCGTGGTCCGTGCAGAGTTGAAGTAGGCGGTCTCCGTTGTCCGTCCGGTTGGCTGGGATTGCGTACGGTCCGCCAAGAAGCCTTTCTGATTCGTCTAGGGATCCCACCTGAGCATTGAAGTCCCCGGCGACTACTACGACGTCCGTTGATTGAGCACTTTGGAGTCGTTGAGAGAGATTCTGGTAGAATTCATCCTTGATTTCCGGTATACTGCAATCGGTCGGTGCATACGCCGATACGACGAATAAGCATCACGGAGTCCCGGCGAGATACAAAGAATTNATGCACCTTGAACAAGAGCTACTTCGATCGCACACTTCGTTGGAAGCGCAGCGGAAGATCGGCTGCCGCTGTTGCTGTTATAGAACACCTCGGATGGTCTGGGACCCCACGAAAGGAAGATAATTGTCTAGTCGTTTACTGTTCGCATCCGATAGCAAAATCAGGCTGGATGCTATTAGCCATTGTGACCACACAACACAATACACGAACAACGAAACGCTAGTTTGCAATTCTGACGCCAGTAATGTGATATGTTCCCTCTTCCACGGGAAAGTGCATTCCCTTCTGTTCTGTACAGATAATAAAAAAATGGGATATTTCCTCCCCTATCCATATCCAAACGCATACACACAGACGCACAAATGTGTGAAATGTCGTCACAGCAGCTGAAATAGCGTTAGGAAAAAGCGTTTCGTCTACAAATGCACTGCTGATCGGTCGAGCTGGATCGGTGGTAGACCATCGTATTACTGGCACATGGGTTATTCGGGAAACCGATTCGGAAAGCGGAAAGCAATGCGATAAAAATTACATTCAGAGATCGTATTGCTTTTGGTACACAATAAAGTTCCGGCCCAATGTAATAAGCCTCAAACAAGATGAATTTGCAGAACCAAAACCAGATCATTTCGATATACCAGCAAAGCGCATAAATTGTCATCATGTGCACGGAAAACTCGGTGAGCACCTCCGGTTTATCTCCGGTGCAGACATAATATTCGTTGTTTGTTTTTACCAAGTTCAGGTTTGTGTGGTCACAGATGAGCTGCTCCTGCCCCGTAAGATACGGTCAACCGGCAGAGCAGATGCAGTAGAGGTCATAGAGATCTCTTCCCGGAAAAGCACGCATCGGAAGGGATAACTGGATTGGTGGGACCGATGCGGTTAAGCTTAAAATACCAAGAAGTCAAGACTCCATCAGTTATAGTTTACACAACCAGTAGCCTGAACTGTCACTAGGCGATTATTTTGATAACTATTTTAGTGTTNGCCTGTTTAAGTGATCAATGCGGAGCAAGGAAGCGTAAAGGGGTAACGGGCAAACAGCATTACCAAAATTAGGATACAGGAAACAAATGCAGTAAATTTGATTAGAATGTGAGCGGATGCACGAGTGCCCAGTGCTACTTCTAATCATGAGACAACAAACCAAACCGAGGAACAAGAGTGCATGGTTAATGGTTGTAAAAACTGAAACTGAATCATCGATTAATTTGATCCAAAGGTCTCCAACCTGAAAGACTAACGCGACAAGTATATGTATAAATCCGTTGGTC